CCAAAGTTTATATATATATATATAAACTAACTAATTAAGCGCTTTCTTAATATCCTCTAAATCAGTGTTTTTCAAAGGCTGGTCCACAGACCGGTGCTGGTCCGCGAAAAAATTTCACCGATCCGCAGAAAAATATTTGACCGTACTGAAGCTGGCGTAATTGATTACGCCAGCTTCAGTACGGGTGTCATTTAAACAGCTACTGTACATACTTTCTTACGTACAGCAACTCTAGATAAGCGCAAATAAGCTTAATAAATACGAAAAATGCATAGTTGCTTATAATTACTTGATCCACGTAAAGGCTTGAAAAAACTGTTCTAATCTAAATGACAGTCAACGAATGGCTGAATGACTTGTCATTAGAGTAACTATGTCAGATTTCGTATTAGCAGGATGGTGCGCACTCCAGGTCATTCTCGGACAGACGTGCAACAGTGCGAACTATGCGCGGTTCGACAACCGATGGATACTACAATACGGTCCTATTTTATGGCTATCTCGTACCCCGGGCTTGATAACGTTGAATTTTTTCCTGTGGGCATTAGTTTACGACGCGTACCTACAGTCGACATTATGTTGGAAAGCTACAGAGGCGAGTACGAAACGCTTTCACCAGGTATACTACGTGCATAAAGCGACTCTCAACCGTCTATACCAGAGTTGCCGAACATTTTTGAGTCTGCGTGCCATACAGTCTGCATAATTATCTTCAAAAATTCAAAAATATTTATGTGTACCGAAGTGTTGAACTTCAAATAAAAATATTTTAAAAAAATGAAATGAACATGCTAATTGAAATAAGTGTAAAGATTAATAATAATAAACGGCGCTTTTAGCCCACGACTTTAATTTAGATAGAGTTAGATCAGTGTTTTTCAACTTGTGGATCGCGACACCTAGGGGGTCGCAAAGCCATACACGGGGGTCGCAAGTGTAAGAAAAGACAAGTGTTTATAGGTCCTACACTACAATAAAAAAAAAACTAGAATTTCAGTGAGAAGGCTGTGCCTGTTTATTTTACAGTACAATTGGTTTTTCAATCGATATTTAAAGAAAGAAAATTAATTACGTAGTTTTTAAAATCACTGATATAGTTTAAATATGGCCCATGGGGTCGCCAGAATTTTTTAACTTGTAAAGGGGTCGCGTATTCAAGAAGGTTGAAAAACACTGAGTTAGATAACCTAATAAATAAGATTTTAACCATTTGGAGGGCTTATCATACCAAGGCTGACCGAAATGCATCATTTCCTAAATTTTCCTTTCCTAAATTGAAGACTAATTTTTTTTTGTAAAAGACCTGGTCTATTTTTCGGCCAGCTTTGGTGTGACATAAGCCCTCCAAATTGCTAAAATCCTATTTGCTAGGTTATCTAACTCTATCTGAAATAAAAGCGTAAAGAAGCTGACTGAAAAAAGGATGATCAGATGAATTATTTAGAAGATGAATGATAAACCATAATCATATGGAACGTTACGTGCCAGTTAATTCTCCCAACGTGGTACTTTGGGCACACGTGCCATAGGTTCCTCACCCCTGATTCTACACCACTGTATTGATGTCGAAGATTGTCATTTTCAACATGTACTATAGAAAAAAAAGTTAACTGTTTTCGAAATTTACGTAATTGATTTTAATCAGTCAGAGATTCTTTGTACTTTATGAAATTCATCTTAAAATGATTGTCTACCGTTATTTTTGAGGTCAGAAGAAACGGGAAAATTTACTCATTTCCGCGAAACTACAGCGTGATTTAAACATGACCCTTTTTTGAATTAACTTATTTATTTTACCGTAAACATTACAACGGGTCGAATGAATCGATGCATATAATCATGCAATGATGAAAAGATTATTTTGCGTCTGGATAAATGTTAAAGTGAGCACCGTGTATATATAGACCTATTATTTATTTATTTATTTATTTAGAATTTCAGAAAGTTTTTAATAAGAAATTTCTAAAATATATACTCACTTTTCGCTAAACATTTTTTCTCAATACGTACAAATGATTTGTTACAAACACAGCTTCTTGTTAAATGATCACAGAAACTATTTGGTAACCACAAACAATCACCATCGCAACGAGTTTCACCTGTAATACATATAAATTCAAAAACATCCGTGTATATCAATGATAATTGATATTTGTTTTTGTTAGAAAAGAGATGGAATTGAAACAGCAGAAGAATCATGTCAAAAGAAGTCACGGGATCGCAGAAAGCATTGGAAGCTTCTTATGAATGGATTCTTATAGTGGCTATAAAAATAATAGTTTCACAGACAATCGATAACTTGGCTATGGATGAAAACGCTGTTAATTCAACAAGTAAAAGAGTGTCAAATATTTGCATTGCAACTCGATATTTCATCACTGATTCAGCTTATTTGTTACTTGACATATGCCAGGAAAGGAAATAGAAGAGAAGACTTACTGTTTTGTAAAACGATCCCAACGACTTCAGGTGAAGACATTTATCTGCGCTGAAGACTTGACTTGGAATAATTGTATAGGTTTATGCAACGACGGTGCTGCAGCTTTGACTGGGAATAATATTGCCTTTGTAACTCGAGTGAAAACTATAGCTCCAGCAGTAAATTGTGCGGTACTTCGCGACGCTTGGGCTTCCAAAAAAAATACAGCGGAAAATACTAGTGTTCTTACGGATGCTTTTAAGATTGTTAAATACGTCAAATCCTTGGCAATGCATGTTCATTGCTTTACTGAACTTTGTGAAGAAATGGGATCTAAGCCTGAGTATCTGCTTTTTCTTAATGAAGTCACATGGCTGTCTCGTAAAAAGTTCTAAAGCTTCTTTTCGAATTTCGTGATGAATTTAGAATTTTTCTGCTTGAGAAAACATTTTTAGCAACACTGGCCTATTTGGCAGACATTTTTGAAAAATAAACAGTTTGAATGTGTCACTGCAAGAAAATAACTCAAATATTATGGATACGCAGGACAAAATTGAAGGCTATAGAAGTCAGATCTTTGGAAAACTCGTATCGACTGTGGAATCACTGAAATGTTCCCATTGCTTACAAAATTCATAACATAGGAAGCTCGTGAAAGCTATACTATAAATTCTGTGGTTATAAGAGCAGCGATGCGCCTACGAGTATCAGCACTAAAAAACCAGATCGACAGTCGCATCTTAGATTGGAAACATGATCCACTCTCCGTAACAGTGAGTGATACGTTAGAATTAAGCATGGTTGTTCAAGAACAATTACTTGAAATTTGGAGAGAGAAGACACTAAAAGTAGCGTTTTACAAAACTACACTTCTGAAATTTTGACTTTCAGTTCGAAGCCAGTAGAAAGAAATTACAAAAATGGCTCTGGAAGTGCTCCTTCAATTTCCAACGAGCTACCTGTGCGATGTTGGATTTTCAGCAATGGCTGTAATTAAAATGAAATATAGAAGTTGTCTTAATGTGGAGAATAGTCTGCGAGCGAGATTGACAGTTAAAACCAAACAATTCGTTTGTGCAATTCAAAACAAGTTCAAGTTTCATAGTCATATTCACTTTTTGTGAAAATATGGAAAACATTTTTTTAAATTTACATTATTATAACTTTATTTAGAAGAAATAAATTCCTGGCTGTATACTCTATGTACAGATATTACAAACTTCATTTAGCAAAGTGCTGTAGGTAGGTATTTGTATTTTTAGCAGCGCAGTTGTATTTTTGCTTCATATTTTCAATCAAAGCTTGCCTATATTTTCTATTATTACAAATTAAAATATGTAATTATAGAAAATAAATATTGATTATAAACCAATGTAAACCTGAGCGTAAACTCAGGGGAGGCGCCATTGCACGCGAGCCAGATGTTAGAGGAATACCTTAGAAAAGATTGGGAACAGCTGATCTAGAAATACAAAATTATCTAATAGTCACAGTAAGTTTTAGAAAAATAACGCAAACTTTTTAATATTTATTTAGATTCCAATTGAAATAGTCAAACGTTGCGTATTGCCATCATCATTACTTGAAATGACTATTGACAAGAAACAAATATCAGTCACAGTCACCTTATAGTTAAACTTTCCAGCGCAAACTTCTGCAGGCGGCATCTGGGAAGAATTTTTAATACTTACATAGGTATAACAGAAATTAAAATGTATGCATATGAGGTAATACAGTCATATGGAGGCATTATCTCGATTGTTGCGACACCATTACCCCGATATAATCTCAAAGTACTTTAGATTTGGAAATAGAACATGTGAAGAAGTCTGTTACATATATCAACTTATTCATAAATAAAAACTTTTATAATAAGTAATGATAAAAAACAAAATAAATTGTTAAGTTAACATATCTCGATTTTTCGGATAAACAAAAATTGCATCATATCATCATCAACGCAGAAAAATAAACACTGACAGTACATGAAATGCTCTTCCATACAGCATCATGGCTTTAACTACGTGTTCGTACTGGAAATATTACCAGATTTATGATGCACATAACAAATTAGTTACTGAGTGTACCGTTATTACTCAGGATGGCGCCATTCACCCTACTTTTCCTTACTATTCGAACATCACTAAGTCACTATTGGCTTTGGTCCGACATAAACTTAGCACTAATTTAATAAAGGTTCATACTTGCATAACCGTAGTGAAAATAATAACAAATATTATTAAGACGAAATGTAAAACTTACAAATAAAAACAACAAAATATTAATAATTATTGTTGTTGTTTTTGTTTATAAGTTTTAGTAATAATAATAATAATTTTTATTATTAGTCAACTATTAAACTGCTNTTGAAATAGTCAAACGTTACTTATTGCCATCATCATTACTTGAAATGACTATTGACAAGAAACAAATATCAGTTACAGTCACATTATAGTTAAACTTTCCAGCGCAAGCTTCTGCAAGCATCATCTGGGAAGAATTTTTAATACTTACATAGGTATAACAGAAATTATAATGTATGCTAGGGGTGGCAAATCTGCGGCTCGCGAGCCACATGCGGCTGTTTGAAGGATTATTTGTGGCTCTCGATAAATGTACCCGAGTTCCCTTTTCATTTTTTGTGTTATTATATTTTTAAAAATTATTATCGTTCCGTATGTGTTTCAAAATGTCTTTTAAATTACTAACAACAAATATGAAAGACTAAGTGCAACGTTGTAACAAATTTCATTTCCGTCCAAGTTAAGAATGATATGACTCATCGAAAACTGCGCGAACGAACATAAACAGTGGCGTAATCGTCCGTTATCCACCGACTCCAGACCGATTTTGAATTTGTAAACTGTCATTGCAATGGACGGTTGACATTGTGCTCTGGAGGAAACAATTTGTATCACTCTTGCTACGGATAATTTGTAATCTGTAATTTTTTACATACCTTTTTAATACGTATTTAATTGCGGCTCGCGAAAAATTTCAAATTTTGAAAAATGGTTCGGACTATCAAGGAGCTTGGCCACCCTAGATGTATGCATATGAGGTAATACAGTCATATGGAGGCATTATCTCGATTGTTGCGACACCATTACCCCGATATAATCTCAAAGTACTTTAGATTTGGAAATAGAACATGTGAAGAAGTCTGTTACATATATCAACTTATTCATAAATAAAAACTTTTATAATAAGTAATGATAAAAAACAAAATAAATTGTTAAGTTAACATATCTCGATTTTTCGGATAAACAAAAATTGCATCATATCATCATCAACGCAGAAAAATAAACACTGACAGTACATGAAATGCTCTTCCATACAGCATCATGGCTTTAACTACGTGTTCGTACTGGAAATATTACCAGATTTATGATGCACATAACAAATTAGTTACTGAGTGTACCGTTATTACTAAGGATGGCGCCATTCACCCTACTTTTCCTTACTATTCGAACATCACTAAGTCACTATTGGCTTTGGTCCGACATAAACTTAGCACTAATTTAATAAAGGTTCATACTTGCATAACCGTAGTGAAAATAATAATAACAAATATTATTAAGACGAAATGTAAAACTTACAAATAAAAACAACAACAAAATATTAATAATTATTGTTTTTGTTTTTGTTTATAAGTTTTAGTAATAATAATAATAATTTTTATTATTAGTCAACTATTAAACTGCTGACTATTAAACATGCTTTTTCTGTGTTTGGTTTTCAGAAGAATAATCGATATATAATATCCAGTTAGAGATACACTCATACTGCATATCATTTGTATCAATAATGTTACATGTATTCTCGGGCACATCATTATGACACAATGACAGATGAAAATTATTACCATTTTTCAAGACAGCGAAGTTAGATTGGGGATATTCACGATGGGAGCTTTTCTTGCTTTTAGAAGAGCTTAATTACACGAAAGCTGTGAATCGTGAATACACACGAGAACCGGATGATTTTTGGATAGTAACAAACCTGTAACTTTTTTATGTTGTCGAGTACAAACGTCGCAATTCTCATTTTATCTTTATTGGGCATTTTATTGACTGACATTATTGTTTTTATTCTAAATTTAGGTCAATACACCTTTTAGTATTGATGATGTATATTTGATTCTATTTATGTTATTTACACTATTGTACTAACAGTGGTATATATCAAGCGATTATTACTTTAATATATTAACGATTATACGTGTATTTTTTACGTATTACGTAAGTTACATGATAACCGGAAGTACTTTGTTTTTTAAAAGATTTATAATTGGATGGTTTAAAAAACATGCTTATTTGTTAAATAGGATAAATATTTATAAAAATTTACTAAATTGAAGCTAAAAATAGACGAGAATAATGATTTATAATTGTTTGTTTACATTTGTAGCTAACAATGTAACTCCGATAAAAATAACTTTTTCCCAGAAAGTTCCCACCCCACAAACCCAAGTCAATGCTTATTCGTTAAAGGATAGTCATTTAACTATAATATACCAATTAGAGGTCAACAGACGTGCAAACAAGGATTTTATTGTCCAATGAATGAAAGAAGGGTCTCCCATAGACTTAACATGGAAAGAAGGAGTTTTGTGGGTAAATTTAAAAATAGGGAGTGGTAACAAATATCTTATTTGTTGAAACAGACTTAGTCTATGTAGATAAATGCCAATCAGTGCTTAAATCGCCATCAAATAGTTAATTACGAAAAAAAATTGACACTTACTCCAATTGGAGTACTGCGCAACAGTTTAACTAAAACCGGTTACTCCAATTGGAGTACCGCGCAACCGACTGAAGAGAGTTATTTTGTTCCATTTTGGTAAGCTTAAAAATACTACTAGTCTTTTGGATGTCGATAATTGGCGAACATTGCTTCAAAGAAGCCAAAGGCTTTTGCCATAGGATCTGTACTAACGGAGTCAAAGTCAAAGAAAGGATGCTTTCGTGGCTTTTAAGAAAGCTACGAAATTCAGTATAGATGGATAGTGAATACCCCTAATAATACAGACTGCTGGATGGCCGAGCGGTTAGAGTGGCAGCCTACCGCTTTGGAGGACCCGAGACGGGTCGAGAAACATCAGCAATTTTTCAGGTGTTTTGTTCGGATATGTTGGGCTCCGTCTCTCACTACCCGGTCACCATCGTCGGCCTGGCCGAACAGATAATGCACTTGCTGAAAAAGACCATCTTAGTATCCATAGAGAGAAAAGAATTAAAAAATAGTTTTAGTGATTCTCCGGATTCCTTATTTTATTTCTTTAATAATATCTCAAAGAAAATAATGATAGTTGTTAATAGTTTTTAGTGCGAGACCGAGTAAGGAATGATTGCAAACATACTATAAATTACAAGATATATACTGTAATGTACCGACGATAGTTCATAACACCGTATCTGATTTTGATATACATAATTCNACAAACCTGTAACTTTTCTATGTTGTCGAGTACAAACGTCGCAATTCTCATTTTATCTTTATTGGGCATTTTATTGACTGACATTATTGTTTTTAAGAGAGTTATTTTGTTCTATTTTGGTAAGCTTAAAAATACAACTAGTCTGTTGGATTTCGATAATTGGCGAACGTTGCTTCAAAGAATCCAAAGGCTTTTGACATAGGATCTGTACTAACTGAGTCAAGGTCAAAGAAAGAATGCTTTCGTGACTTTTAAAAAAGCTACGAAATTCAGTATAGATGGATAGTGAATACCCCTAATAATAAGGACTGCTGAATGGCCGAGCGGTTAGACTGGCAGCCTACAGCTCTGGAGGACCCGAGAGGTAGACCCGGACGGGTCGAGAAACATCAGCAATTTTTCTGTAGGTGTTTCGTTCGGATATGTTGGGCTCCGTCTCTCACTACCGGGTCACCATTGTCGGCCTGGCCGAACACATAATGCACTTGCTGAAAAAGACTTAAGATGGTCTTTTTCAGCAAGTGCATTACCCATAGAGAGAAAAGAGTTAAAAAATAGTTTAAGTGATTCTCTGGATTCCTTATTTTATTACTTTAATAATATCTCAAAGAAAATAATGATAGTTGTTAATAGTTTTTAGTGCGAGACCGAGTAAGGAATGATTGCAAACATACTATAAATTACAAGATATATACTGTAATGTACCGACGATAGTTCATAACACCGTATCTGATTTTGATATACATAATTCATAATTCTTAAATAAAGTTACGTTTTGGCAAAATAAATAATTACTACTCCCAGAAAAAATAAATTATATATCATTCTTATTCTAAGTTATATACTTTAAAATAATACTCACTTTTCAAATCAAATTCCAGGAGCTCTGCCTTCCACGTCTGATTATCAATAGCATGTTTTACAACTGGATTCGACCTACTTTCTGAAATGTTATTTTTCACGGACTGCACATATTGATATTTATTAATTTTGAACAAAACAATAAAACATATAATTATTAACGTAAGTCCCATACTACGCTTCGAAATGTATTGCAAACATTTTTTAAAATTATTAAGAAGACATTAAACAATTAAAGTTACGAAGTAAAACGCATGTGAAAGAATGTTATCTGTGACGTGGAATTATTTATCGCAATTTATCTCGATATATTTATCTATTTATAAAAAATTTATAAGTTGCTACTCCTCGTAATATACATCTATCTTTTGTATTTAATAATATTATTTTGAAATTTTTTCGTTTGTTTTGTGAAAAAAGTAAACTGATGACTATTGAAATACTAAAGTCATTAATATAATATCATGTACATTTTAATCATTTAAAAATTTTATTATAATTCGCTTTTAAAATGATTAAATACAGGATATCGATTTATCATATATAAATTGAAATATGATCGTAGATACGATTCTTATTCCATATTATTATTTCTAAAGTTTCAAAATTTGACATTAATGTAATTTTATATATGAAGATATTCATCAATCATTTTTATTTCAGTTATTGATTACAGCAAAAACTATATTCACTATACAATAATTTCTAAGTTTGTTAATTCGATGCTTCCAATTTTTATATTACACTTATTAAATTTTTCTATAGTTTTACAAATTCTAAGAGTGCGCTACTGCATTGAGACACAAGAAATAATTTATACAATTATTTAAAATCGTGATTAAAATTTCGATAATAATTTACAAATCCATTAATGTCTAGTTGAACATATTTCTGTAAAGTTTCTGTTAGCTGTTGTCTATCAAATATTATAGTTAAAAATAGAAAAAAAGAAAAACAAATATAGTTTTTGCTAAACTGTATTTTCTCGATTTTAAACCGCACTTTTTTTTTTACCGATTTTTGCTTGCTTGAAGTACAAGTGCGTCTTAAAAGGTAGTTTACACGACATTTTGCTGCTAGAAACAGCAATACCAAATCCAATAGGTTCCAGAACTCTATGAAATAACTTTGAGATCATGGGTGTCAGTAGAAAATTTTCTAGGAAAAGGCAAAGCTTGGAGAACATAATTACATTAATAAATTTTTATTCAAATATTTAATTTATTTGGGATTTTCACTAGTAGGTAATATAATTCAGTATTGCATCAATATAGAACAGACAAAGCTTCATCCCATGGTCGAAGTTGTAAGATTACATACCTCATTCACTTTTTACGATTATAGTTTGTGGAATTTTTACTCGACCCAGGGACCAAGTGCCCCGTTTGCTCCTCTCTGCGGACGCCATGCTTGAGATCAAGGCTTATATGCCACTGAAGACGTTTTGGTTACTGGTGTGTCCTCCTAGACCAGGGATGGCCTGCGTGACGATATCAAGGTATCCACATTGAATAGGATTTTCTAAATTATATAAAAAATAAAAATATCTGATAGATTTCAAAACTTCAAATGTAGGTTTTTTTTAATTCTCACTCAGGACGGTTAGTGCCCTATGGGCAATAAAACCGCTCTGTATGCCACCTTGACCGCTCAGCCATCCAGCCGTCTATTTCACATGTAGTGTGAAAGTAGGTCCTAAGTCAGCCGTAAAAAGTCTTAAAGACCACTAATTATGAACATCAGATAGGACAATTTTCATTAAATAAATAACAGCAAATTTCTCATTGAATGAAATACGGTACAGTACTTATTTTAAAGCACGCCTGTCCTAATGCCTAGACAACACGTTCAAATTTGTTTTGGTAATAAGTAAACTTTTGTATTCTATTGTAATTTTCGTGTTCATATAATGTATACACAAGAGAAAGATATTATATGTATTTTTTTTAATTGAAATGGTATAGATTTTTATATCGATTACTCACTGTAAAAGTCGACTTTAAATTAAAGTGATGAAAACATACTATAGACCTATACATTGTTTCAATTAACATGACAGATTTTTATTACTTTTTATAAAATACATTTTACTCTTATAAATTCCTTTGTAACTAATTTAAATAATTATATAGCCTATATATGTGTGTGTGTGTATGTGCGTGTGTGCGTGTGTGAGCTTACTTTTAAAATGGTAATTTTATTAATTGATAGTGTCCTAGTATCCAGATAAAACACTGATAAACACTTTATGTAAAAAGATAAGAGTTTTGCAAAATTTTCCGATATGGCTGCAAGTGTGACATGTTTATTACCTTGATATATTGCATTTAATACGTTCATTATTATAATATGGGATTAACATTAATTCTTATATATTTTTGTTGCATTTTTAAAGCATATGGATTTCAAAATAAACTCATTTCTAATACAGACATTTCTCCTAATTCTAAAACTAATGCTAAACCTAACAAAATAGTGTCTAACCTGCCACGAGTTTTTGCTGACTGGACCTATATGAAAGGTATGTAAAAATTGACTCTTAAAACCTATATTTAGAAGTGTATATACGTATATTAATAATACATTAAAGAGAAAGTATTTAATTAAAAATAATAAAATATAATTTTCAATATATCAATTATAAATTTAAAATTTAATACTAAACAAATATTTATTTAAAATCGTTTTATAGTAATGATTATCGCGTAACTATAAATTAATCTTTAGATATATTAAATTAATATTTTTAAATATAAGTTTATTTTTTAATAAATAATTATAAAATAAAATTTAGTTAAATTAATATAAATTATAAATTAAAATAACATTGTAATTATCTACAATATATTATAAATTCGTTAGTACTGTATTTCTAAAAATGTCTATATAATATGCATGTATCTATTACATCAAGATACCATATATATAGTCTATTATAAGTTTGCTCTTTTAATTATTGGTTTATATATTAAATAACATTTAAAATGTATAGAGAATATTTATTTTTTTGCAATTCACTTTTCTATTTCTAAGTATGGCATGGCGATAGGTTAAAAAATGACCCCACCCCAAAGATTTTTATATTTTTGGACTCAGAACATCTCAATACGTCGAGAAAAAAATTCGGGTTTGTGTGTGCGTGTGAGTGGCATACGATTTTGTTTATCCTCTTTGAATTTTAATAACTCCTTGCTTTTTGTCGAAAATTTCTGAAATTTTGATCAGAGATTTGTTTATTAGGGGGATTAATACAATTAAATTTTGGTGATTAAAGGTCGCGGAGACGGGGAAGTAAAGGAGGTCGTGAGTATCTCTAGTAGGGTAAGACTTAATGACGATTTTACTCGTTATTAGAATTTACAATTTTTATAAAATCTATCCCTACCTTGAAAAGTAACTTTTTTTACCATTTTATAATAGTTAAAAATATAGATTTTTTAATAAAATATGATAACAGATGGCGCCACCAAAAGTAGCTGGAAAATTAACTAACTGGTTGTTGGAATTTTTTTTATAATCATTCTTTATATTTAAAATATATTTATGTTAACTTTGCATGGTGGAAATTCTCATTAATCACTTTAATTTCGGCTAATTTTGTGTCAAATATTCAAATAATTAATAATTTTCATCATATTTGAATCTACATCTATTATTAAGGCATTTCGGATTAATTGTTCAATATTTTATATTTATTATTATTATCGATGTCTTTAGTAATTATACGTAACGAAATACATAATTATTATTTTTAAGAATAATTATGAAACTAAATGAAATAAATTAAATAATTATCGTTAAGAAACTAACTCAATAAATAAATACTGTATATGTCAGTTATTGCCCTGCTGACCATTCGTACCGTTTTTTTCCTTACCTTCTTTTTTAAATATAATTTTACTTTGCTTTCACCGTCCTGTTGTTTTAATAAAATATTCGCTTTTTACCTATTTTAAAAAATAAAAAATCTTAGCTGTTTAGTTTGTATATTTAACACATTTATATGTTGTTTCTGCGCTCGTGATCAGTTAGAAAATGTTTATTCTGTGTTGATAAGGAACCTCAACTCTGATTGATACCGCTAAGGAAGAAATGATGTGAAATGTTTACAGAATAGCTTTTAAGAAGTTCAGGAACATATTACACGAAGAAAAAAAGATTAAATTTGACAATTAAATTAATAGACTCTAATGAAGACAATAATAACGAAACACTTGGAGAAAGTGAAAGATGAAAAAACAAGTTTAGCTGATAGATGGGTCAAAATATTTTATGAAATTCATGAAAAGAATCTTGAATTTCAGGATTTTGATAATTTGATACAATTATTCATTTGTTCATTAGGAATTACAACTTCTGTAGAAAGAACATTTTCATTCGTAAATTCCTTTGGTGAAAGGTCAAAATTAAATATTAAAGCCACGAAAGCAATGCCAATTATAAGCACATCTGCGACTTGCAATGCGGTAAGATTTTGATAAAATTCCCAATGTCCAGAACTTAAACAAAATAATTTTCTGAAAAATATGCTTGCTTTAACTCTAACAAACCTTCTTCCTCAACCTAACTATTAAATTTCATATCATAATTTTTCGTTATTAGATTTTCGAAAATAAAGCTTTCAGAGAAATGTACAGTACAGTACGTATTCTTTTTTTACGTCACCAAATCAATATTAGTAAGAATGTACTAACAAATTGTTGATAATGTTCATCTAGGACTATATTTCTTGACGAAATTTTAACAAGAGAGGGCTTGTGTTTATCAGCTGCTGTTTCTTTGTCCAGTTAGGGTATCTAAAAATTATAGTCAACGTAATTATTGCGAAGTTATTATCTTAAATCAGAATGTTTTAATGGTATCTTAACGGTATATTTTGGGACATAGTTTCTATGATTTCGTCTATTATCATTATATTGCATAATTCCTTGTTTAATCTAGCTTTCGGCGAAACTTCTTTCATGTCCGTTCACAACTAAGGTCATAGTCCAAATTTAATCAATGAGTGTTCACGTATTAAAAGTAGAACAAATTCTTGGTTATCTTTTTCTAATTCTTGTAAATATATTGATAGACGTTACTAATATGCAATAAATAATTAATATCAAAAAAATATTCACTAATAAAGGCTATTTCACAACAAAATTTTACGTGTATGGCACGTAACGTGCTTTACACGTTCAGCAAATAGCTTTTATAAATTAAACGAATATATTTACATCGCGTAGAGAGCTATATCCTCTATATAACGCATGCCAACTTTCGTATGTTTTCGCTGACGAAACATCGCACAATAATTGACTGACTTTGTATTTGTAAAAGATATCTTAACCTTTATATTTTACGACTTTTTTGAATAGCTCGCGTGCTACGCGGAAAAATTGAAACGAAGGAGTGTATGAGCCACTCAAAAAGCAAAATTATTCAAATACAGGCGTTATACTAGTCTTACAAGAATTTACGTCATCAAATTATTATAGCTATACAAATTAGAAATGGTTTAGCACAGTAGTTCTGAATCGTTTTTGATTCGTGGTCTCCCTTTGCGGCTTGATTAACTCTGTGAATCCCTCATTCGGTAAGTTACATTTTTACTAAACGGCATGGATTGAATTGCGAACTCGAAAATAATAGCTAGAACTAGAAGACAATAGTACTGAAACAGTTTATTTTCAAATAAATATCGTTTTCTTTCTTGAGGAAAATTCATGAATTTAAAATTAAAAAAAAAATCACAGTTTTACAGAACTTAAAAACCAAAATCTAAAACACTAATAATTATAATCTAAAGAAAAAATCTCACAAATTTCCTGTTTGTAAAAATTGTATTATGTGTTATTAAAATAAATTTAATTTTCAAATAGGTAAATGTTAAAAAGTATTTTCATAAAATAGGTAAAGAAATTTCAAAATACAAAAGTATTAATTTGAATTAAGACTTTTAGCGTGATGAGAGGAAACACGTGTTTCGTGCTTCTGATATCAGATGGGTGATTCCATTAAAACCCGAAACAACCAAATAGGAACTTGAAAAATCCATAAAAATATTTTTACCTTGTCCTAAAGCTAAATAAATTTATTTTCTCTCTCGGTATGATACTTTTCAGGCAATCACTTAATCTATTCTCTCATCAGGCTTCCTACTTTTGTTTGTGTACTGTATATTGGACTTATGACCAAGCTGTCAGAAAGAAGTACTCTCATAAGTTAAAAATATGAATTTTGGAAAATATGTATATATATATATGTATATATATATATATCAGTCATCTTGAACTGATGTATATAATCCTGTCTCGAGAAATTAAGCCAATGGATTTGGCTTAATTTCTGGAACAATCCTATTAATTACATTTGCAGTTTTCTCTTCCTCTTTTACTTTGTAGCAGTTAGATTCTGATCCTGGTTTTATTTTATTCATTGTTTTTCTATTGACTGTTTTAAGACCAAATTATGTTATAGAAGCAATAAAAAAATAATCATAAATAATTTGCAACCAGTAGAAAGGCAGATAAAAAATTAATTACAGTAATCAAATTACTCGAAATCAATTCAAAGAAAAATTTCGGGGTGTAGAAAAATATTGCGCCAAGTAATAATTATGGAACCTGAAATGAGAGCCAAATTTTTTGAGAAGTTTCTTTCGGTCAAGATAAGCTTTGCGCTTTCAAGCAATACCATAAACTGTTTATTATTCTCAGCACTTCGCGTTTTTGCATTAGTAGCATGGTGACACGGTAAAGCTTTCAAGAACAAATTTAAGAACATTCATTGTTTAAAAATTTAATGGTTATTAAGCTTCTGTATCAGCTTTCAGTCTGAGAACTTTTCACATCTTTTGGAAAGTGTTTTCAACTGAACATCGAGAGATATTTTTTGGGTATTCTACTTTATTACATATGCATTTCGAACAGTTTAGCTCCTCTTTAGTTTAAAGTAGATGCTTCCAGATTACAAGTTCTTTTAGAAATTCACTAAAGACTGTACATTAAATGTACATTTTTTCTTTTTTTTGCTCTATTCTGAAATCTCTCTCTATCCTACAGTTTTAGTGAAATTTATACTTTTGTCCTGTTTTTTAAGAAAAATCAAACAGCTTAGCTCTCTATAGTTTCTATATTAAACACGGTATTCTGAACTTTGGATTTGTTAGAAAATGTTTATTCTGTGTTGATAGAGGTCATAAATGTGTGGATGAGCTCAAGAAGGGCCAGTGTCAAAATTGACACTTCTTAAGTTTTTGAGTAATTCACATTAGAAATTTTGAACANTCGTCTTAAGTCCGACCCTACTGGAGATATACACGACCCCCATTATCTCACCACCCGATCGACCTTTAACCATCAAAATTAAAAAAAAAAAAAAAGCACAGGAGTTATTAAGCTACAAACAGGGTAAACAAAATCGTGCCCCCATACACACACTAACATTCATACACGCAGAAATTATCCTGGATGTGTTTTGCATTTCTCGACATTTCAAGGAATTCTGAGTCCAAAAATGTAAAATTCTGGTGGTCAGTTTTTCTGGATCGCCATACTTTCTCTCTGTATTACAGCCGGGAAAATAAAAATATATTAGATCTTCGATTGTTTTATTTTTCTAAGTGAAAATTTTTAATTTTAAAAGCTCATTTTGATCCCCTTTAACAGTTTATTTTTATTTTATTTTATACAAGACTAGAATTTCTCATTTTTCCCTTAAAATGATCTAGAGAACCTATCATCTTTTCTTAGTAAAGTACAAGTCATGTCTTTACATGTATATCCTGAGCTACTATGGTGTTTATACGAGTTATTAATATAGCCTACTGTACTGTACAGTACATTCGTTGTTTTTCTCACACATTGAAAGCCTGCCAGAGAAACGAGCGATAAGACTGCAGCCGCGAAGGATCTGGAATCGAATCCCGGTCGACATTATTGCGAAAATTTTATACTTAGAATCCATCGGTGAGTTGTTCTCTATCTACATCCACACTGTGCCAGTGGCTAAGCGGATTTGATTCTTAAACATTGGTAGTTGAATTCGGATTGGCGGTTGGGTCGGATCATGAAGTTTTCCGGGTTTTCTTCGCGTCGATAACGCCCGAATAGGAGCTGGTTTCCTTTAAAAGACTGTCCGAAAGACACATTTCCTCGATTGCAGATCGTTTTACGTGCCAATATCTAAAACCAATCAACTAACATACTTACACATTGAAAAAAATCCTTTGCTTTTTGAGTGGCTCATACACTCCTTCGTTTCAATTTTTTCGCGTAGCACGCGAGCTATTCAAAAAAAGTCGTAAAATATAAAGGTTAAGATATCTTTTTACAAATACAAAGTCAGTCAATTATTGTGCGATGTTTCGTTAGCGAAAACATACAAAAGTTGGCATGTGTTATATAGAGGATACAGCTCTCTACGCGATGTAAATATATTCGTTTAATTTATAAAAGCTATTTGCTGAACGCGTAAAGTACGTTACGTGCCATACACGTAAAACGTTGTTGTGAAATAGCCTTTTAATAAAGGCTATTTCACAACAAAATTTTACGTGTATGGCACGTAACAATTAGTGAATATTTTTTTGATATCTATATTTATCGAAGTGTCCTTTTTCTAAGAAATTTCTTTAGATACTAATTAAAAAGTATTTTTCATACTTCACATTTTATGAATAGTAAAATTCGAGGTCGACATTTTACCGACTCCATATCACTGGTTACCACAATGCTACTGAAAAATTGTGTTTACGGACCAGTTTTTTGTTTTTTCTTTTCATTCCAATCTTTCGCAGATCTTTTTGTCAGCAAGAGATTGGAATGAGCGATTGTCATGGAGCACTTTTGTGAAGTTAAATAATTATAAAAAGAATTATTACTCCAATTTCTTTATATGATTATATGAAACAACGAAAATAAAATGTCTGGCTAAAGATAATAATTCTATTATGATATCGATTACCGATACCAGATTATCATGATAAATCTTAGACGGATGCAACAAAACGTAAACTGTTCTAATATAAATAAATATAACTCAATTTCGATTAAGACTTTTTTCCTAACGCCTTTCTTTTTGTCGAAGAGATGTCACATGACACGTTTTTTTATGCCTCCGCTGTCCAAAGTGCTGTTCCGTGACGAAAACAAGCTTAAGCAATAGAATCTCAAACAATGCATACTTGATAAGTAGTTTTATAATTTTTTATTTATTTATGGCACTTTTATATGAGTCGCCCCGAAAATGTTTTGGAAATGTTTATCGAATAAAATAGCTTTTTAAACAAACTTTAAAAAACGCTTAATGATCAGATTCTATAGTTTTACTTTAGTTCCTACAAAATCTTATTGAAAGTTTTAATATTTTATATTATTATTATTGCAGAAAATTTCTGTTTGGAAGATTATGATTGTAACTGGTTACAGAATAGTTATTGTGAATATTCTAAAAGAAAATGTGTTTGTGACCATCGGTATACACTCATCGAAAATAAGTGTTACGAGAAAGGTAAATGTTGACTCTAATATCTTTTACAAATTTACATATTTTTGAACACCATTTTCAATTAAGCAATTAACTAATTAATTAGCAAATGTCTCATAAATTCATATTTTACAAAAAAATATTCTTCATAATTTGAAGTTTAGACTATTTACAAAAAGTCAAAATTAACTTTTCATTCTTTCATTCTCTCATTCTCTCATTCTTTCAAGACTCTAGCCTCTTCACACTATCATTTTTATCCACCTTTTTTGAACTGCTTCTGGCCCCCTAGTGATAGTTACGAGTATCTACATTATTTGCATATAGTTACATTTTTTGTGATAACTCAGGATGTATTTTCTTCATAATTTGAAGTTTAGTTTGAAGTTCTGTAAATAGTCTAAACTTTAAATTGTGAAGAAAATACATCCTGACTTATCACAAAAATATTGTTTAAAAAATATTGTAATAAAATATTGTTTAAAATTAACATTTTTCTC